GCCAGGTGTTCAGTAGCTTTACCTGTGTGCCATTGCATGCTGCTCCCTGAACAGCGGGATGGTGTCTACTCTGCCTCTGTCTCTCTTCTTCCTGTCTCCTGGATTTCCCGCCCGCTTCTAAACTGCCTTGCCGGGGGCCAAACAGCTTTATTTATCAACCAATCAGAGCAACACATATTCACAGCGTACAGAAAGACATCCCACAGCAAACTGTTCCTGCAGAACACCTGGGTTCAGTTCCCAGCACACATAGTGGGTAACTCTAGTTCCAGAGGACCTGACATCTTCTTCCTGCTTCTATGGGCACTAGACACACATGGGGTACATAGACATACATGCAGATGGAACACTCAGACACATAAAATAAAAAGTAAAATTTTGGGTTTGGGGATTTAGCTCAGTGGTAGAGTGCTTGTCTAGCAAGTGCAAGGCCCTGGGTTCGATCCTCAGCTCTGAGGGGAAAAAAAAGTAAAATTCAAAAGTAAAAAAGGTGATTTTCCAATTAATTTCCAGTAAGAAATCTTGTCTCAAAAAAATAAAGTGAGCTGGGTGTGGTGGCGCACATCTTTAATCCCAGTACTCAGAAGGCAGAAGGAGGTGGATCTCTCTGAGTGTGAGGCCAGCCTGGTCTGCATAGCAAGTTCCAGTCTGGCCAAAGTTACATAGTGAGACCCTGTCTCAAAACAAAACAAAACAAAACAAAACAAAATAATAATGATAATAATAATAATAGTAGTAATAATAATAATAAAGTAGAGGGCCAGTAGAATGGCTTACCAAGTAAAGGTGCTTGCCACCAAGCCTGACAACCAGAGTCCAATCCCTGGGACCCACATGGGGGAAGGTGAGAACCAACTCCCCAAAGTTGTCCTCTGACCTCCACATGTACACACACACACACACACACACACACACACACACACACATGCCAAAAGGCCATGGGAGTATACAGCAGGTGACAACTAGTGTTTAAAAGGTCAACCTATCAGAACCAAGGGTTCTGGTAAAAGACTAAGCCATCATTCAAGGCACATTGGAGTTATTGCCTTTTGAATGAATTGGCTGTTTCTTGCTGTAAACTTCTTATGCAATTATAGCTATGATGTCTCCCCATTAACCATGCATTTTTATTATATGTGTGTGTGTGTGTGTGTGTGTGTAATCTCATGATTATATCTCAATGTGTACATATATCTATGGGTGGTCAGGAAGATGATTTTTCATTTAGCTGTATCATTTTGATATACAGAAAATATACTAGGAGATGCTTCATAGCCGGATCCATTGTCCCATGGTCTGTAGACACTTAGAGACTGCTTTGTTCCTCTTGCTCAGACTAACACAGAAAATAATAATCTCTCCTCAGTCTAACATTTAGTTCATTTTTACCTCAGAGCAAGTTCAAACTAGACTAAAGGCTTTTGTAAATAGATCATAAGTTTAAAACTTTACAGTTATGCACAAGGTCAGAGTCCCAGGTGTCTCGCCAAGGTTACTACACAAAAACAACCTAAGAAAAGCCTGCCAATTCTTCCCTTGCCAAGTCTGCTGATAAAAAGCTATGTCTCAGAGTTTGTCGCACTGGGCACTGTGCCCCCTCCCTCTGGTCCTGAGACCTTGGAACTTTGCATCACCATGGTAAAGGCTCTGCTCCTTATCTTCTATTCTAGGAATGTGCTATGACCTTGAGGGTTTGGAAACTTCTCTCAGGATTTCGAGGAGTCTCCTGTTAGAAATGTAAGGAGTCAGGCAAGAGAGGAGCTAAGAAAGAGAGCTGAAAAGAAGCTGTAGGCTCAGAGAAGCAGGAGAACAAGGAGGGAACAGCAGAGATCAGAAGCTTACTCAGAACAGTCAAGTGGATGGACTGAACGAGCATGGCGTGTGTAGACTCGTTTGAGATCCCTCAGGTTAGAGTCCCAGCTGGTTATAGATTCTTTCATGGACTCTGGGAGAAAGCTTTCGTTAGAAATGTAAAAGAAAAAGAGCAAGGAGGCTTTATGGAACAATCTCATTCTGAGGGAACTATAGCTGACAGAATGTTCACTTGGTTCACTCTCACCACAGCCCAGGGCTCTCTTCACATTTGTGAAGCCATGGACTCAACCCCCAGCAGTTAAGGAAAACCAAAGCACTCGAGGATGGGCTCCTTCACACCCACACTGGAAAGCCCTCCACAGACCAGAGCATTCATTTGGCCAAAGTTAAGGCTCAGCCTCAGCAATAACAAGACCCTGAGTGCCCACTTTCTACAGACAGACAGACAGACAGACACTCCACTCACCTTCCACTGTGCCCCTGAAAGTTCAAACACGAATGGGTTGCTCCGTTTGTCTCTGTCCTTGACCCATGCACTCTGCCTGGCGACGGAGTTCCTCTCTATCTTTTCCAGGAGCCTTGCGCTGGTGTCCACGAAGCCGTTCTTGCAGTACTGTGCCTGGGGCACGCCCTTCCTCCTGCACTCGGCCACAAAGTCCCACTCTTCCTTTATCCTGAGACAGGAAGCAGAAGACTTGTTATTTCCCCGGGGAAAACAAGCAGGCTTGGTCCTCCACTTCCCCGGAACCTGGTTTCCCACTGTTGTCTGCCAAAGGCCTGTCCTGATCTTACTTTCCTGCCGCCAGGAATGCTGGGAACACTGAGACCCTTCTGTGAATCGCTAATTCCCACAACTAAAACAGATGAGCTGAGTTAGATGGAATCTTTGGCTAAACCTCCTACCAAAATTATTGACACATTGGCTTAAGTGTGGTTTCTTTTAAAACTATATTACGGTGTCTGCTTTTGACTCCACATCCCCACATTTCTGTAGCAGGTTCCCAGCTCTCTATCTGTAGCGGGTTCCCAGCTCTATCTGCAAGTGCCGCCTTCTTTTTGTCTGTTTTATTAAGACAGAGTCTCCTACTGCCCAGCCTGGCCTCGAACTCACAAGGCAGCTTTGCATGTGCTGCTGCCTTGCTCTGTAAACATCACCTTCCGGCACAACGTTTTGCTGACAAGAAGCCACGTTAGATATCCTGGAGGTCTCGTGCTTGGCATTAGACTGGGGGATCAGGAACACTTAATAATTAACACAGCTCCAAAGTTTCCATCACAGGAAGAAGCGCTCTGGGGAAAGGCACCCAGCAGGGCTCCATGTGCTGGTGCAGGCCAGTTGTCCCAGCACCTGAGAGGTGGAAGCAGGGGCAGGAGTTCAAGGCCAGCCTCTGAAACAGAGTTGGCCAGAGGACATCCTGAAGGTGTCATTTCTCTTCCATCACTCAGGTCCCAGGAAACAAACTCAGATCCACAGACTCAGCAGTAAAGGCCTCCTCCTGCTGAGACATCCCCCTGCCTCAGCTTTTTGTGCTTCTGAAACCAAATCAGAAGGCAGATCCAGGCAACACAGTGTGAAGATAACACTATATCTTTCCTCTATCACAAATTACAAACCCATATAAATACAGCCTGTAATCCCAGCACCGGGAGGTGCCGGCAGGACAATTAGAAGTTCAAGCTTAGCCAGGCGGTGGTGGTGCACACCTTTAGTCCCAGCACTCTGGAGGCAGAGGCAGGAGGATCTCTATGAGTTCAAGGCCAGCCTGGACTACAAAACAAGTTCCAGGACAGCCAGGGCTACACAGAGAAACCCCGTCTTGAAAGCAAAACAAAACAAAACAAAAAACAGTTCCAGCTCATTCTATTTACACAAGGAGTTCAAGACCACCCTGGGTTAGTTATTCAGGCTGATGTGGTCAGAAGACATGTGGTGCTGGTAAGATGATTTGGCAGTGAAGACACTCACTGCCAAGCCTAATGCCCTGAGTTTGACCCCGCAGAACCCTCATGGAAGAGGGACTTGACTCTTACAAGTTGTCTTCTGACCTCCACGGGTGTGCAGTGGCAGGAGTGCACGTGAGTGCGTACAACAAATTATTTAAAAAAAGAAATATTGTAGGGGGCTGGAGAGACGGCTCAGCAGTTAAGAGTATTACCTGCTCTTTCAGAGGACCCGGGTTCAATTCCCAGCACCTACATGGCAGCTCACAACTGTCTGTAACTCCAAGATCTAACACAGACAGACATGAAGGCAAAACACCAATGCACATAAAATAAAAAGGTAAAATTATAAATTACTTTTTAAAAATAGATTATAGATAAATTGATTGACTGATTCACACTTTACACCTTTTGTTGCTAACTTAAAGCTAACAAATAGCTGGGCCGTGGTGGTGAAAGCCTTTAATCCCAGCACTCGGGAGGCAGAAGCAGGTGGCTCTCTATGAGTTCAAGGCCAGCCTGGTCTACAGAGTAAGTTCCAGGGCAGCTAGGACTACACAGAGAAACCCTGTCTTGAAGAACAAAAACAAAACAAATAAACAAAGCTAATAAAAATACGCCATCATTTGCCAATTGAATGTAGGGTCAGGAACTGCCTTTGAGATGAGTTAGCCAATTGGAACCCCATTCACCTTTAACCACAATGTACCCGTCAAAATTTTGGTTTTGGTTTCTTCACAGAGAATAAAAGTTATAAACGTATGCAAAGCCTCCTGAGTATACAGCCTTCTTGGCTTACCATCCTTGTGTTATGTTGGATGGTGTTGGTATGATTGTATGCTCACATTTACCATAGAGTTTTTTGAAGCGTGAGCTCAACTTAGTGTGTTTTGTGGTTTTGTTTTTGTTTGTTTTTTAGAGTTTATTGTTATGTGTGTGTGTGTGTGTGTGTGTGTGTACCTGTACACACACGTGTATATGCCATGTTTGCATGAGTACTCATGGATGAAGGCTTTGGATTCCCTGGAGCTAGGTTACAGGAGGTTATGAGCAGGTCGACCTGGGTGCTGGGACCTGAACTCAGGTCCTCTGGGAGAGCAGCAAGCACTCTTAATTGCTGAGTCATCTCTCCAGCTCTGCAACTTAGTGGTGTGTGTGTGTGTGTGTGTGTGTGTGTGTGTGTGTGTGTGTGTGTGTACTTGTCTCTGTGTGCACCAGGTGTATGTAGTGCCCACAGAGGCCAGAGGACATCATCACATACCCTGAGCTGGAACTATAGGTGGTTGTGAGTCAAACCCTGGTCCTCCGAAAGAGCAGCGAGTGTTCTTAACCGCTGAGCCATCAAGAGAACTTTTACTCCCATTTCACGCGTTTCTGAGAGTCGGGCTGCACCATTTCAAGTTCAAGTGTCGATGAACAAAATGCATGAACAAAGTAGCTTAGGGGAGCACCAGGTGGTCCAGTGAGTTCAGTGAAGGGCAGCGAGTGGCCTGCCTCTGTGGGGTTGAGTGTAGAGGGATTTCTGTGCCATCTCTGTCCTCCTTGTGCCTGCACAGTGTCTGGACATTACGTCACTCCTCACAGCTCTGGGTGTCACCGTTAAAGGGATGCAGTGCAACACCACACGGGTTAGGAAGTCTGTGGGGGAAAGTGGCCCTGACAGTGGGAACTCCTCCTCTTCCTCTGGGGAGGACAGAGGGAAGACTTCCTTCCTCCCCAGCAACCGGCACCCAGCCTGAGTCCCCACCCCACCAGGCTGGAATAACAGGCACCAAAATGTACTTCTCCAGTGCGCTCTTCTCCAGCCTCTCGGCCTCCTTCTTCTGCCATGCTCTGTGCTTCTTGACACGAGTTTCCCACAAGGCTCTGACGACAGAAATGTCAAACACGACCACTTTGTGTCCCAT